AATGCTAGCCGGGCTCAGTGGCTCAGCCTGTAATCCCGCGCCTTTGGGAGGCTGAGGTGAGTGGATTACCTGAGCCTGCGGGTTCGAGACCCGCCTGGGCAGCGAGACGTCATCTCTACAATAAATTAAAAAAAAAAAAAATCAGCCGGGCGTGGTAGCGCGCCCCTGTAATTCCGGCTACTCGGAAAGCCGAGGCGGAAGGATCGCCGGAGCCCAGTGGGTTGAGGCTGCGGTGGCCGGGAGCGGCCACTGCACTCCAGTCTGGACGACAGAGTGAGACTCCAACTCAAAAAAAAAAAAAAAAAATAGGAACTATGTTTTAAATTGTTCTAGTTATGTTTTTAAGCCACTAGTATGTAGTTTACAGATGAAAGTTTTAAGTTTGTGAGAACTATAACTATTGGGCTGTCTCCAAAGAATATGATTTAGCAAATTACGTTCCTATGATTCATCTTATATCAAGACTCCAGATCCCAAGGGGAAGAAAATGGATGAAAAGTTTCTACAAATCCTTTCCTTCTGAAAATTCATCTACCACAATATAAAGGCTAGGCTTAATCTAGAAAGATCCATTGTGAACAAGAAGTTACATAATTTAGCTGCATTGTGCTCAAAAATGCTGGGAGTGATGATCACTCTTCTTTAGAGAATTATAAAAAGTACTGAAGCATTTGTCAGAGCACTTAAAAGCATTATACTTTAATACTTTTGTTTTGAGTAGAGTTTTAGATTTGGTTCACCTGAAAGTTTTACCTTTATTTTGGAATTCTATTTTCAAATTTTACAAATACATAATTTTATTTATTTTTTGAGTTGAGGTCTCACTCTTGTTTCCCAAGTTGGAGTGCAGTGGCCTGATCACAGCTCAATGTAGCCTCGACCTTCTGGGCTCATGCAAAATCCTTCCACCTTGGCCTCATGAGTAGCTAGGACTACAGGTGCATGCCATCACTCCTGGCTAATTTTTTTATTTTTTGTAGATGAAATCTCACTATGTTGCCCAGACTGATCTCCAACTCCTGGCTTCAAGTGATCCTCCCACCCTCAACCTCCTAAAGTACTGGGATTACAGGCGTGAGCCACAGTTCTTAGCCCTGATTTTAAAAATAGTATATTACAGGGGTTAGGAGTTTTCCTGGCTAAACAGATTATTAAACTTTACTTAGTATTTATATAGACATTTAATCATGTTAAGGAAACTTTTTTCTTTTTTTTGAGTCAGACTTTAACTCTGTCGCCAGGATGGAGTGCAGTAGCACAATCATGGCTACTGCAGCCTCCCCCTGCTGGGCTTAGGCAATCCTCATGCTTCAGTCTCCCGAGTAGCTAAAACTACGGGAACATACCACCACGCCCAGCTAATTTTTTGATTTATTGTAGAGATGAGGTCTCACCAAGTTACCTAGGCTGGTCTCATTCACCTTAGCCTCCCAAAGTGCTGGAATTACAGGTGTGAGCCACCGCACCTGGCTTTTAAATAAACATACTAGTCATTTAGCTTTTGTATGTTTAAGCCTATCAAAACATTCTTTGCCTGAAAATTAAGTGTGAGCCCTTATTAATAAAATTTTCTGGCCGGGTTCGGTGGTTCAGCCTGTAATCCCAGCACTTTGGGAGGCCAAGGTGAGTGGATTGCCTGAGCCCGCGAGTTCGAGACCTGCCTGGGCAACTTGACGAGACCTCATCTCTACAATAAATCAAAAAACTAGCCGGGCGTGGCAGCGCGCGCCTGTAGTTCCAGCTACTTAGAGGGCTGAGGCGGAAGGATCGCCGGAGCCCAGCAGGTCGAGGCTGCAGTGGCCGGAAGCGGCCACTGCACTCCAGTCTGGGCAACAGAGTGAGACTCCAACTCAAAAATAAATAAATAAATAAATAAATAAAATTTTCTGGTTATTAAATATTACTGCTTTCCAACTAGATCATAAAGCTCATACATAGGTGTATCTATGATGGTCATGTATCTCCAGGACCTAGCATAGTGTTGTGAATATGTGGAACTCTGTGTATTGCTGGTGGCAGACCAATACTGGTTTTTTTTTTGTTTTTTTTTTTTGAGTTGGAATCTCACTCTGTCGCCCAGGCTGGAGTACAGTGGCACAGTCACGGCCACCTCAGCGTTGACCTGCTGGACTCTAGCAATCCTACCGCCTCAGCCTTCTAAGTAGCTGGAACTATAGGTGCATGCTACCACGCCCGGCTAATTTTTTATTTATTGTAGAGACGAGATCTTGCTAAGTGACCCAGGCAGGTCTTGAATCTGCAGGCTCAGGCAGTCCACTCACCTTGGCCTACCAAAGTGCTAGGATTACAGACTGAGTCACTGTATTTTTAAAAGAGCACAGCACCGGACGTAGAGGCTCAAGCCTGTAATCGCAGCACTTAGGGAGGTGTAAGTGAGAAGGTTCAAGACCAGCCTGGGCAGCTTGGCAAGACCTTGTCTCTACAGTAAATCAAAAGAATTAGCCAGGTGCAGTGGTGTATGTATGCCTGTAGTTCCAGCTGCTTGGAAGTCTGAAGTGGAAGGATCGCCTGAACCTAGCAAGTCAAGGTTACGGTAGCCGTGAGCGTGCTACTGCACTCCAGCCTGGGCAACAGTGAGACTCTGACTCTAAAATAAAAATAAAAGAGCATAGCATTCTCGACTCGAATACCCTGATCATTAGAGCTTAATGATCTCAAAGAGCTTAATGATTTAGTAGTCCTTATTTAAGTGGGTAGGTTTTCATGTGTTTCACCATGCCAAGGGAAACACATCAAGTTTTCAGAGGAGTGACTTCTTGCTTATAATACTAACTAGTCATTGTAGAGGGAGCCCTAACTTTGGCAACTTTATTAGGAAGAGGACAAAAAGAAAACTAGGGACAAATTCACTGTGCAGGAGTCTGTCTTTATCCTCAGTGGATACAGTCTGAGTTCTCTGTCAGTGGATGCTTGAAACCTCAGATAGTACTGAACCTATATATGAGGGGGTACCCCAAAACCCCGGAATTATCTGTATGTTTGTTTGTTTGTTTTTGAAGGTGGGCCCTTGTAGTGCACTCAGAATTTGTTCTTCTAGATCAAACGGTCAACCAAAGTTTTTATTTGCAAGCTTTGAGAAGATTGCGTCATGATTTACGGAAGAAACATCTTGAGTTGTGGCAAACAGTTGACTGTTTCTTCCACCGTGACAACACACCTGTGCACACAGTGCTGAGTGTTCAGCAGTTTTTGGCCAAAAATGGCATGACCCCTGTGCCCCACCCTTCCCATTCACCTGATCTTGCTCAGGTGGCTTTTTGTTGTTGTTTCCTGAATGAAAAATGTCCTCAAAGGGAAATGTGCTGATGCTCAAGAGGTGATACAAAAAATGACAGAAACACTAGAAGGCACAAAATTGACAAGCTCAAAAACTATTTCGAGCAGTGGAGAAAGTATTTTGAAGGTGTCTTGCATCAAACGGAGTGTACTTTGAAGATAACTGAAGTTTAAACATGTAAGAATAGGCCGGGTACGGTGACTCACGCCTATAATCCCAGCATTTGGGAGGCCAAGGTGAGAGGATTGTCTGAGCCCGCGGGTTCGAGACTAGCCCAGGCAACATGGTGAGGTGGGAGGCCGAGGTGAGAGGATTGCCTGAGCCCACAGGCCGAGGTGAGAGGATTGCCTGAGCCCACAGGTTCGAGACCAGCTTGGGAAACTCAGCGAGACCTCATCTCTATAATAAAAAAATTAGCTGGGCATGGTAATGCACACCTGTAGTACCAGCTACTTGAAAGACTGAGGCTGAAAGATCGCCTGAGCCCAGCAGGTTGAGGCTGTGGTAGCCATGAGTATGCCATTGCACTCCAGCCTGGGCAACAAGGTGAGACTCCAACTCAAAAAAAAAAAAATACACAACTTTTTTGAGTCAGAGTCTCACTCTGTCACCCAGACTGGAGTGCAGTGGCATGATCACGATTATAGCTCCCGGCAGCCTCTACCTCCTGGGCTGAAGTGATCCTTCCACCTCAGCATCCTGAATAACTGAGACTACAGGTGCACGCCACCATGCCCCAGCCAATTTTTTTGTATTTTGTAAAGTCAAAGTTTCACTATGTTGCCCAGGCTGGCCTCTAACTCCTGGGCTCAAGCAATACTCCTGCTTTGGCCTTTCAGAGTGCTGGGGTCACAGGTATGAGCCACTGTGCCTGGCCCACAGTTTTTTATAAATAAAGTCCAGGTTTTGGGGGGTCCCCTCTTGTATTATGTTTTTTTTTTTCTATTCATACATACCTAGGATAAAGTATGTAAATTAAGCACAGTAAGAGATTAACAACAATAACAATAAAATAGAACAATTATAATAATATGCTATAATAGCAGTTATCTGAATGTGGTCTTTCTCAAAATATCTTATTGTACTGTACTCACCCTTCTTGTGATCTGTTGATCTGATAACCAAGATGACTACTAAGTGACTAACGGGTGGGTATTATATACAGCACAGAAAGATGGACAAAGGAATGATTCACATCCCAGGTAGAACAGAACAGGACAGTGAGGGATGGCACCAGATTTCATCTTGTTACTCAGAACAGTGCACGGTTTACAACTTAAAAAGTGTTGGAGCCAGGCACGGCAGCTCACGCCTGTAATCCCAGCACTTTGGGAGGCAGAGGCGAGAGGATTTCCTGAGCCCACAGGTTCGAGACTAGCCTGGGCAACATGGTGAGACCTCGTCTCTACAGTAAATCAAAAAAGTTAGCCGGACATGGTGGCACACATCTGTAATTCCAGCTACTTGGAAGGGAGGTGGAAAGATGACCTGAGCCCAGGAGATCGAGGCTGTAGTGGCTGTGAGCATGCCACTGCATCCAGCCTGCAGGACAAAGTGAGACTCCAACTCAAAAAAAAAAAAAAGAATTGTTGAACCATGGCTGTCCTCAGTCACCAGAACTGTGGAAAGTGGAACTGTGGATGAGGAGGGACTACTGTACATCTTTTATTTTTAAAGAACTGTAAAACTTGTGTGTTTGCAGATCAGGGAGCAGAGAAACATGAAGGCACAGGTCAGCCCTCTGGGATCACTGATCAAGAGAAGGAGTTATCCACCAGTGCTTTCCAAGCTTTCACAGTAAGAAATGACTTCTCTCAATCTGCTCAAGTTGTAGGACTCTTATGAATCTTTTCAAAGTGAATTTTTAAATTTATAATTTTTATTCTGTAATAATTCAAGAGTTAAGTTTAGAGAAAAGTAGGTTTACTTTTAAACTAAAGAAAAAAATGTTGTAGAGTTTACCTGAATATAGTGAAAGGAATGGGTGTAATTTCAGCCATTCTGAAGTTTTTATGTTTTTTAAATATGTTTTAACACACACACTATTGTTTTTAGAGTCTTTTAAATTTAGAGCTGTAGTTATGTGAGTCAGTCTTTCCATTTCACTACTCTACTCAAATCCGTTTCTATTTTTATTTATTTATTTTTCCCAGAAATGTCAGGCTTTGTCAAGAATTCTTTTTCTTGAGTGTACTTTAAAATGGAACCCCAAAAGTGTATTGTCACGATTTTAATTTTTCTGACATTAAACAACATGAGAGAGAACCTGATTTGGTAATGAGGTTTTATACATATAAGCAGAACTCAAAGTATATCTACTAGAAAATAAAACTTGGAAGTATTACATTTCTTGACTAGCCTTAGCTATTTATACTCTACTACCATTATGACATATATACCAATATATCTATCATAGTTATCTATGTGTCCTATAGATATATGTGTCAATGTCAGAGTTTGAGTATTAGGAAACATAAAGAATTTTTAAGATACAGATGAATGAAATGTATTTAGAATGATGTATTGTTCTTAAAGCTGGTATGTAACTCTGTGTGTGTGTATGTGGTTTTTTTATTTTATTTTTTAGTCTGGAAATTATGATGCCTGTCTGCAACACCTTGCCTGTCTACAAGATATAAACAAAGATGATTATAAAATCATTTTGAATACAGCAGTCGCTGAGTTTTTTAAAAGTAACCAAACAACAACAGATAATTTGAGACAAACACTTAACCAGCTGAAGAATCAGGTGATACACAAATGAATTTAACTATAAAAAAAGTCTGTTCTTTAATTTGTGAAATACAAATAGTTAAGGAAAATAAATGTGATTTCTTGTCTGAAACATTTGTTGATATTAATTTTATTTGTAGAAAATATTATTCCAGTAAGTGAAAGGTATGTTGTGTGATGTTTTTCTCTTTAATTGGGTTTTTAATTAACTTGAACAGAATAGTCTTGTTAATATACGAAATTTGAATGAACTTTGGAGTTTTGAGAAAGAAAGCAGGCTTTATAAATATGATTAGCTGTGGAAATACATCATGATTATAACTGAAAAAACTGCTTATTAACAATGTCGCCTTTGGAGGACAGCGACTTAGTCTACAGACGCTGTCCCAGAAGCCGGAGGTGCCATTTCTTCCACTTCCTGCTGCAGCCAATAAAGGCCGTTCCTACTATAAAAAATAATAATAATAATAATGTCAAGTTGTAGCCTTTTGGATGAATAATTACATAGATATTCTGATTTATATCTGGTTTGGGGCTTGAATTTATCATTGGTCCTAACAGCAGCATTTCTTTTTTTTTCTTTTTTTTGAATTGCAGTCTCACTCTGTTGCCCAGGCTGAAGTGCAGTGACATACTTCTGACCACCATAGCCTCGATCTACTGGGCTCAGGTGATCCTTCCGCCTCAGCCTTCTAAGTAGCTGAAGCCACAGGCGCATGCTACCACACCTGGCTAATTTTTTTTTTTTTTTTTTTTTGATTGTAGAGACCAGGTCTCGCCAAGTTGCCCAGACTGGTCTCAAACCCCTGAGCTCAGACAATCCTCTTGCCTCTGTCTCCCAAAGTGCTGGGATTACAGGTGTGAGCCACTGTGCCTGCCTAATAACAGCATTTCTTACATCACAGGGCTGTGTTCAAGAAGGCAGATAACAGTGATGGTAATGATAGGATCAGCTGGCAGATATTGAGTGCTCAGTGTGTGACAGAGCTCTTGAAGAATACTTTGTATGCACCATCTCATTCATCCTCCGTAGCCCTATAAAATAGCTGCTGTAATTTGTATTTTGTAGTTGGAAAAGCCAGCGCACAGATAACTGGGTAAATTGTCCAAAGACACACAGTTTTTAAGTAGTAAGAACTACATGAACCCAGCTCTACTGACTTGAGAGCCTGTACTTTTAATTACTGCTTAATGCTGTGGGGAGTCTTGAGACCCTTTGGAGGCCTTGCCCTGTAGCTGTCTGTGCCACTGTACTGTGTAACGTCGTCTAAAATGTGGCCAAATAAGTGATCCCTTCTGGTTCTTCATAATTCTTTATAAGAGTAAAGTAAGTTTTAAATCCCACTAAAATTCTTCAACAAAAATGAAAAGAATAGCCAATATTTATTGACTTGATGCCAGATGCTATATTCATTGCTTTATCTCACATAATCTTCACATTCGGCTCTTGAGGTAGATACTTATTATCCCAGTTTTAAAGGGTTTAGAAAGTCTAATAATTTATACAGCTAGTAAGGGGAAGAGCAGGATTTGAACCACACCTTCTGACCTTCAGCCTGTTTTTGTAACCACCTCAGTCTTCATAAATGTATATACATCATCACATTTCATCATTACTCCAGTATTATTACCCATGACTTTATCTGGAATTCCAGAATCAAAGGAAAGATGATGTTTTCTGATACCGAGTACATGGCCCCTATGACCACATAGACAGTTTCTTCCAGGACAGATTTGTTTGGTCTTTGAAAATAAGTTCAGCCTTAAAACTTCTTTTGAGTAAGGGGCCTCCTACAAGCTTCCTGATTGGCTGAGAAAATTGCTTTTTGAAATCCTTTCACTTACTTTTATTCTTTGTTAAGTTTGTTCAGTATTTTTCAGCTCTTGAATTTCCTAGAAGGGTTTGTACATGTGACTCTTGGGTCCTTTAAATCATGCTTCTGTTAGCAGTCATATGTCTTAGGCACAATGCCACACCTTTTCAACCTTTTCTACTTTCACTAATGTTTTATCTCATTTAATAAGTAGTTTTTATCCTGGCTGGAACAATTACTAGATTATTTTGATGAATCATAGAAAATATGGCAAAGATATTCATGTGGTAAGTGATCCATTGCTGAATTCAGAACTCCTTAGTTTATCTAAAGGCCCCTTTCCAGCTAAAAATTAACTCTTTCTTAGCTCATTCTCTCTCCATTATATACTACAAGAAGAGTTGCCTTTCTTTAGAAATTGAGTTTTCTCTATTAAAACAGACTATTTTTGGATGAGCGTGGTGGCTCACACCTATAATCCTAGCACTTTGGGAGGCCGAAACAGGAGGATTGTTTGAGGCCAGGAGTTCCAGACCAGCCTGGGCATTATATCAAGACACTGTCTTTACAAAAAAATTTAAAAATTACCTTGGCATGGTGGCACACACCTATAGTCTCAGCTCTTTGGGAGGCGGGGGCAGGAGGATTGCTTGAGCCCAGGATTTCAAGGCTGTGGTGAGCTGTAATTGTGCCACTGCACTCTAGCCTGGGTGACAGAGTAAGACTGATTCAAAATAAAATAAGATAGACTGTTTTTAATCACTTGAAGACAGTGACTTGATAAGTGAACATTATAAAGTCATCAGCTAGGACTGCTTGCTAAATCCCAAACTCCTTGGTTTATCTAAAGGCCCCTTTCTTGAACCTCCATGCCAAGCTTCACTGCATGGGTGATTGAAGTCTGTCAAAGTCCAGTTACAAAAATTACAAATCACTATGTACCATGAACCTTCAGTTTCCCTGCCTTTAGGCAAGCCAAGGTTGTCAAATTCATGTACTGTATATCAAAGTTACACTGCATTATTTAGGGAAATGTCAGTCTTAGAATTACTTAGTGTTGTACAATAATTTATTGCAATCTTCATAGTGGCAAAGAAAGGTTAGTTTTAATATAGGTAGACTTCTATTTTCATGTGTTATATGGAATGGCTGTGAAAATTCATTAACTTAGCCGGGCTCGGTGGCTCAGCCTGTAATCCCACGCCTTTGGGAGGCTGAGGTGAGTGTATTGCCTGAGCCTGCAGGTTTGAGACCCGCCTGGGCAACTTGGCGAGACCTCATCTCTACAAAAAAAAATCAAAAATTAGCCGGGCAGGGTAGCACATGCCTGTTATTCCGGCTACTCGAAAGGCTGAGGTGGAAGGATCGCCAGAGCACAGCAGGTCGAGGCTGCGGTGGCTGGGAGCGGCCACTGCACTCCAGTCTGGGCGACAGAGTGAGACTCCAACTCAAAAAAAAAAAAAAAAAAAATTCATTAACTTTAAAATGCAAAGTGTCGTCTTTTTTTTTCTTTTGCTATCAGTTATAGATGTTGGGGTTCTAATAAAGCCCATAAAAGCTGTTTTTAACTGTTAAGTGTGATATATTGTATTGTTGTTTTTCAGTACTTTAAAAAAATCCATTCTTTATTATGGGAATAGAACCTGAAAAGTAAAGTTCCTAGCCATGTGTCCTTGGACAAGATAATTAAGCTTTCTGTGCTGACTTCCTTATTTATAAAGTGGAAATAAATTATCTATGTCCTAGAGGTATGGTAAGGATTAACCCTTAAAAGATTAAACATAGCAAGCCTAGCACATGGTATGTAGTTAGCTATTATTGTTATTATATAAATCTTACATTAGATTTTACAAAATGAAATCAAACTATGCACACTGTAAAACATTTTAATGGAAAAGGTCATTTTGAGTTTTCCCCTCTTAGTATAGCTTCTTAGAGCTCATGAGACTAGAAAGTGGTACTCCCACTCAGAAGCCATACTGGCAGTTAAAACAGGAAAGATGTCTTCACAATGACAAGGAAGATGACAGCCCTGCCTCGTGCTGGGAACTTAATAATGTTCCATCAAAACATTTTACTTGCCGGGCTTGGTGGCTCAGCCTGTAATCCCATGCCTTTGGGAGGCTGAGGTGAGAGGATTGCCTGAGCCCATGGGTTCGAGACCCACCTGGGCAACCTGGCGAGACCTCATCTCTACAATAAAATCAAAGTGAGCCGGGCGTGGTAGCGCGCGCCTGTAGTTTCAGCTACTTGGAAGGCTGAGGTGGAAGGATCGCCGGAGCCCAGCAGGTCGAGGCTGCGGTGGCCAGGAGTGGCCACTACACTCCAGTCTGGGTGACAGAGTGAGACTCCAACTCAAAAAAAAAAGAAAAAACATTTTACTTAACAGAATTTTAAGTATAAGACAGACATAGGGTACTTAGAATGTAGAGGTACGGTTGAAAGTATGGAAAAATCCAGAATAACAATGCCTGTATTCCTGTTCATTTGTATGAATTTTTTCACTTTTGCTCTTTATTTCCTTAATGTTAAAATATAATCTCTGTTGATCATTTTATAGGTACACTCAGCTGTTGAAGAAATGGATGGATTAGATGATGTGGAAAACAGCATGTTGTACTATAACCAAGCAGTCATTCTTTATCATCTGCGACAGTATACAGAAGCAATATCAGTTGGTGAAAAACTTTATCAGTTCATAGAACCCTTTGGTATGTTATCTGTTAAGTCAGAAGCTTCTCTATCTTCTCATACTTACAAAATTCCCTGGTACTTTTATCTAGATAACTTAAATCCGAGAATTGCATATCAGTATTTAAAGAAAAAAGAAAAGCCATGTCAGCTTTTCTTAATGATTACAAGAGATAGCAGTATAATCCATGTTTTTTTGGTTTTTTTGATTCAGTCTCACTCCGTCACCCAGGCCCACAATCATGGCTACCACAACTTGACCTGTTGGGCTCAGGCAGTTCTGCCCCAGCCTTCCAGGTAGCTGGAACTACAGGTGCGCCCTACCATGCTCAGCTAATTTTGTGACTTATTGTAGAGATGTGGTTTTGCCATGTTGCCCAGGCTGGTTTCGAACTCCTAGACTCACTCAGGCAGTCCTCCACCTTCCAAAGTGCTGAAATTACAGGCGTGAGCCACCACGCCCAGCCAGGCTTTTTTTTTTAGTACCACTTTCTTCCTAGATTTTGAAGATAACTAGGAAAATGTTGGAAAGGCTTACTAATTTTTGTGTTTTCTTTGCTGTTTTTTTTTTTTAGTCAGAGTCTCACTCTGTCACCCAGGCTGGAGTGCAGTGGCATACTCATAGCCATCATAGCCTCGAACTGCTGGTCTCAGGCGATCCTTCCACCTCAGCCTTCCAAGTACCTGGAACTACTGGCGTGCACCACCACACACAGCTAATTTTTTAAAAATTTATTGTAGAGATGAGGTCTCGCCATGTTGCCCAGGCTGGTCTCGAACTCGTGGGCTCAGACAATCCCCTCACCTCAGCCTCCCAAAGTGCTGTGACTGCAGGTGTGAGCCACCACATCGAGCTTTCCTTGCTGCTTAAATGTAAACATTACCCTAGGTACCTGATTCTTCTTTCTTTAGTACATTAAGGAAGGAGCATTTTGGAATGTTAGGGGAAGTGAAGTGTTTAATTTTTGCCTGTTGCCTTACTGAAATTTTTGTGTGTCATCTCAGAGTTGTCGTGTTGGCTACTTTGTTGTCTTAACTAATAATAAAGATAAGGGCAAGCCGGGCTCGGTGGCTCAGCCTGTAATCCCGCGCCTTTGGGAGGCTGAGGTGAGTGGATTGCCTGAGCCCATGGGTTCAAGACCCGCTTGGGCAACTTGGCAAGACCTCATCTCTACAATAAATCAAAAATTAACCGGGCATGGTAGTGCGTGCCTGTAGTTTCAGCTACTTGGAAGGCTGAGGTGGAAGGATCGCCGGAGCCCAGCCGGTCGAGGCTGTGGTGGTTGGGAGCGGCCACTGCACTCCAGTTTGGGCGACAGAGTGAGACTCCAACTCAAAAAAAAAAAAAAAAAGAAAGATAAGGGCCAAGAGGGAAACCTGTATCCAGGCGTGGTTGTTAGAGAGGGCATTGGCTTCAGCCCACAAGCAGGCAGATTCCACTTGAGTCTCATGTTTGTCTTTTTCTCCATAGTTACTCTCTTTTAAATTCAAAATGTTAATGGGATTTTTTTTTAAACTTTATTTTTTAGAACAGTTTTAGGTTCACAGCAAAATCAAGAGGAAGGGACCCTCTGCCTTGTATATCTGCAGCCTTCCCCATTGCAGTGTTCCCCAACAGAGTGGCTTGTTCGTTACAGCTGGTGAAGCTGCGTTGACACATCATAATCACAAAGAGTTCACAGCTAGGAGTCACTCTTGATGTTTTACAATTATATCTATCATAGTGTCATACAGAGTCTGTCACTGTCTTGAAAATTCTGTATTCTGCCCATTCATTCATTATTCCTGTGCCTGAAACCACTGATCTTTTTACTCTCTCTATAGTTTTGTCTTTTCCAGAATATCAGAGTCAGACTCTTAGTACTCAGGTTGTTTATGCAACATATATTTATTGGACGCGTGGACCAATACTATGGGCCAGACACTTCTGAGATCTGAAGATAATGCAATGAACAAATGAACAAACTAGAAAAACTGTTTTCCCCCCTTATGGTTATATGCTAATAGGAAAGAAAGCAACACAGTAAATATACAGTCGTCCTTCAGTATTCATGAGGATTGGTTCTAGGACCCCTCTGTTGGACACTAAAGTCTACTGATGCTCAAACCCCTTGTATAAAATGATGTAGTATTTGCATATAACCTACGCACGTCTTCCCATGTACTTTAAATAGTCTCTAGATTGCTTATAATATCTAATTCAATGTAGATGCTATGTACAAAGTCGTTATTCTACATTGTTTAGAGAATAATACTTTTATTTTATTTTATTTTTGAGTTGGAGTCTCACTCTGTCACCCAGACTGGAGTGCAGTGGCATGCTCCTGGCCACCGCAGCCTCGACCTGCTGGGCTCCGGCGATCCTTCCGCCTCAGCCTTCCAAGTAGCTGGAAGTACAGGCACACGCTACCACACCCAGCTAATTTTTGATTTATTGTAGAGATGAGGTCTTGCCAAGTTGCCCGGGCGGGTATCGAACCCGTGGGGTCAGGCAATTCACTCACCTCGGCCTCCCAAGCCCGGCCGAGAATAATACTTTTAGAAAGTCTGTACATGCTCAGTACAGGTACAACCATCTTTTTTTTTTTTTTAATGTTTTCAGTCTGAGGTTGCTGGAGTCCACAGACGCAGAACCCACAGATACAGAGAGCTGACTATAGATTGTGAGGCAGTTGAATGCTGTGAAGTAGAGCTAAGATTGGGTAAGAGGATAGAGATTGACTGGGGGTGTTTTAGATAAGGTAAGCAAGCAAGGCCTGGAATGAGACAGCATTTGAAAGATACCCGAATGAAGAAAAGAGTCACAAAATCAGCCGGGTGTGGTAGCACATGCTTGTAATTCTGGCTACTCGGAAGGCTGAGGCGGAAGGATCGCCGGAACCCAGCAGGTCGAGGCTGCAGTGGCCAGAGTGGCCATTGCACTCCAGTCTGGGCGACAGAGTGAGACTCCAACTCAAAAAAGAAAAGAAAAGAGTCTTGTGACTTTTTTGGAGGAATGCATTCCTGCCACAGATAATGCTGTATGCAGAAGACCTGAGGTGACCTGACTGGCAGTGTTCTGTGAGAGTAACAGCAGAGAGGCTGTTGAGGAGAGGACAGTAGTAGAAAGTGATGTCAGAGGTAGCTGGGGCAGAACAGGTAGTGAAGCCTTAGGTGTAGTGAGAGGCCTGGAGATCTGAGACCTTTGCACACCAGCTGTGTTGATTTCAGTTTTAAGTAAATTCCTCTCTTTCAAGACTTTTGAAATTTCCTGTCTTGATTATAGCAACCTTTTCCTTTCATTTTTCCTCTTATCTACTTTTTTGAAAGGAAAGAACGATAGTTTTGTCACACCAAGTTACATTTCCCCTCTTTGTTAGGCTCTCCTTCATTTGAATGAAGGCCTTTTCTTTTTAGTTTCCTTTTGGCAGTCTCTGTTTTCTGATATACTCAATCCACACCTTGCTGCTTTTGCTTCTGTAGCAGATTGTTTCTTTTTTCCCTTTCTGTGACTTAGAAATCTGTTTCATAGAGTCATAGACCTAAGTTAGGAACCTCAAGAGATCCTCTGGTCCACCCCTCTGCCTTCAGGCAGGTAAAGTAATCTCCTCAGCCGGGCTCGGTGGCTCAGCCTGCAATCCCGCACCTTGGGAGGCTGAGGTGAGTGG